AATAAATCTGCTGTCAAGAACCTCTCCAAAATGCTAAAGAACAACAGTGTCAGTTTAAAGACAAAGGTGCATCTGATCCAAGCTATGGCCTATCAAGTACTTGCTTTACATCTGAAAGGTGAACAATGACTTAAGGATAACAGAAGAATATTCAATGACTTTGGGATACAGTGTTGAAGAAGAGTATGAATATATCCTATGGACTACCAAAAGAACAAACAAATGTATCTTGGAGAAAATGCAGCCAGGGTGCTGCTTGGAGGCAAGGATGGTGAAACTTTACCTCGCATACTTTGGGCATATTGTTAAGAGGGGCTATTCTGTGCCACTGGTGTTCCAATTGTTTGAAATGATCAGGGACCATAAAAGAAAACTCGTGCTGAAGAAAAAGAACTAAAGGTCGAAAAACTTAAATATTGTGGGGGGGGAAAAACACTGCAAAACATAAAATTTAAAAAAAAAAAAAGGAAAGGAAACTTTGAACCTTACATACCAAGCAGATGCCAGGGCTAGCACACACTAGTCCTAGATTAGTAATTCATTTAAAACAAAAAAAGAGGGGGGGGAAAATAGTAAAATATAAGAAGCTGAACTGCATCCCTGAGGTATGCGATTTGAATCCACCAGACGCTCTGCTGAAAAAGGAGGGGCAATCTCCTCCTGTACCAGTCAGATCCGATTTGAAGGTACACACACAAAAAATTTAAAAAAAAAAAAAGTAAAATATAAAAACAAATTAATGTTTTACAGATCCTGGGAAAAAGAATGTTCAGCAAAGTACAAAAATATAAAGCATTCTTTTCTTTAATTTTTAATTCTTTACTATGGAATAGCTCAGAATGTCACTTCTGTTTTAGGTAACAGAATTGATAACTGAGCAAGGAAATGTAATTTGAATTATAAAATTCTTGCTTTAATAAAAATTCCTTAAACTGTGAAAAAAAAAAGAGGACTGTTTCTTGGAAAAGGACATTATGCTTGGAAAGGCGGAGGGTCAGCAAAAGAAAGGAAGACCGCAACAAGACGGACTGACGCAGTGACTATAACAATTGGTTCAAGTATATCAACAATAACAAGATGGCACAGGCTAGGAACAGGCTTCAGACCTGTTGTTCAGAGTCACTAGAGTCATAGTTGACTCAACAGCTCCTGACATCATCAGCATCGTAAGATGCTTACATATTGTTCACACTAAACATACATTCTTAAATATATTAAACATGTATTTTTTCATCACGTTTATTGCAATACCATAATCCTTAAGTAATGCCTTCTGGAACCCATATGAAGTGCCATTAGTAATGCCAGAAGCAGTCTTTAGAAGCAAAGTTATGACGTTACAAGAAAAAGTTAAAATGCTCAAATCCAGATGCTCTGCTGGAGAAGGAGGGACAATCTCCTCCTGTCGCAATCAGACCCGATTTGACGGTGCACACACAAATAATAATTTAAAAAATTTATTTTTTAAAAAAAAAGTTAAAATGCTTGTTAAAAAGTTAAAATACATATCAAAGATTGAGGTCTGTGGCTGTGGATGCCCACTATTTTAAGACAATGACCCCAGAAGACCTTTGCAAACAGAGAATACGAAATTTATGAAGCCTCTGTTTTGCCAGCAGGTGTAAACACCTTGCACTTTTTGTGAAATACCTTTTTAATTTTATACTCAAAGTATAGCTTTTATGTGGGCATAGCAAAGATAAGTGTAACATACAAAACACATGTTAACTGACTTTTGATGTTATCAGTAAGGCCTCTGTCAACAGGAGGCTATTAGTAGTTAAGTTCTGAGGGAGTCAAAAGATATACATGGATTTTAAATGGGGAAGGGGTCAGCACCCCTAATCCACATGTTCAGGGGTAAACTGTCCTCAATTACTTATTCTAACTGCATGCAATCACTTTACAATGTCACCTAATTTTACTTGCCGTCTCATCTCTAGTCACTCCATCCCTTCCAATACTGTTGTTGTTTGTTTTGTATGCTTCTGAGTTGTGATTCATAGCTGAGACTCCAGCGCGTTTTCAGAGGCAGTTAATCACATGTGAGAAGACTGCCCATCCTTCTCCTACAGAGCAGCTGGTGGATTCAAACTGCTTACCTTTGGGATTGTAACAGTTTCTTACCACTAGGCCACCAGAACTTCCACACTATACAGCCTCCTCATTAGTCATTTTCCAAATACATATGCTATTTTCTTTAATTCTAGAGTTTTACATATCCCTTTTCCTGGATTCCCCTCATACCATCTTCATCCAAATGGCAAATTATTACCAGCTTTTCAAGGTATATTCTAGTAGCCTTGGGCTGAAATTTTCTCTTCCAAGTTTTCAAAGTGTATTGTGTAACATCACTCACTACAGCACTTGTACAGCGTATGACACATTTGTTCACAAAGTAGGAGCAGTACTGACACTACTGTGAGCAATGATGGGTATCACATCTTAAATTTCTATGTATGCTCCCAGTGCTAGTACAGACTCCTCCAGAGTGTTACATATATCAACTAGCCAACTCATCCGTAAGACAGTGGGCACTCATCAGATGTTATTCTAATGATAAAAAATGAGGTTTTGGAAATTAAGTGACTTACTGTGTCCATATGAAATCTATGCCTAAACCAAGAATCTGTTGTCCAAATTCCAAAAGGGAATGAATACTGCATGGTTTAAAATGGGCAGGTACATGCATAGGGTGTGCCCTTTTCTCCACACCTATTTCAATCTGTATGCTGAGCATAATTCATGAAGCTGAACTCTATGAAGAAGTATGTGGCATCCAGATCAGAGAATGTCGCAGCGACAACCTGCGATATGCAGATGAAACAATCATGCTTGCTGAAAGCTAGAGGGACTAAAGGGCTTGTTACACAAGATCAAAAACTATAGCTTTCAATATGGATTGCATCTTAATATCATGAAGACAAAGGTCCTTACCACTGGGATAGTGAACAACATCATGACAGGTGGAGAAATTATTAAAACTGCTATGTTTTGTCTTACTTAGATTGACAATCAACACCCTTGGTACCAGCACTCAGGAGACATATTGCTTTGGACAAGTCTGCAGTCAGGGACCTTTCCAAAATACTAAAGGAAAATAATGTCAATTTGAAGACAAAGATAGGCCTGATTCAGACCACGGTGTTTTCAATTATTTGCTGTTTATCTTAGAGCTGGACAATGAACAGAGATGACGGAAGAACTGATGACACCGAGCTGTGGTACTGGACAAGAGTACTGAATATTTCCAAAAGAATGAACAGAAGGGTCTTGGAAAAGGTGCAGCCAAAATGCTACTTGGAGGCAAGGATAGCTTCATCTCCCGTACTTTGAACATTCTGCTGGGAGAGGTTATTCCTTGGAAAAGGGTATCATGTTTGGAAGGGCAGAAGGTCAGTGAAAGAGAAGACGACCCCATCAAGATGGAATGACAAAGTGACAGCAGCAATAGGTTCAAGAGATGGTGAGGATAGCATAGGATAGGACAGTGTTTGGATCTGTTGCTCATACAGTTGCTATGAGTCATAGGCAACTCAAACCCAACTAAAGGACATATAAGAGGTAGCATAACAGGGATGGAAGAAGGTTCTATATGATCACTTTTCCTTCCACCATCAGTGCCCCGAGTATTCTAATTTAGACATCTCCTCTGATAGGAAAACATGTTATCCACAACTGTTCTGAACATAACTGAGATTCAATTGGATAACATGCTACTACATAAATACAGCTTTTATAAAAGAGAATCCCTCCACTAAAATAACTTTTAAAGATTCTAGGCTAAACTACTTTTTGAGGGTAATTCAAACAAATTCCATTTGCTGACTTAAATTGTCAATTTCTTGGACTACAATAAGTATCTGCATCCTCTGACAGTATTTCCCTCAAATACTCAAGAACAAAAGTGCAATGCAATACAAAACAGGCAGACTACAAAAAATACTCCAGGAAAATAGTTCAATACCATTTTTTTTACACAGAACACCACAAACACGGCAGTAAATCTAATACACGTATAAGATAAAAATATAAAAATACTCATTAAAAGTACATTTACAGTGATAGAAATACTTAGTCACCACAATTATTCATAATTATTATTAATATAATATTATATTTATTATATTATTATACATACCAAGAATAGGCAGGTATATAAATAAAAGGGAAAATACATATCATAGGGATATTAGCAAGGGTACTAAGGAAAGTATTCTTAAAGGACAAAATGGTGCAAAAAACAGAAATATAGGCCTAAACTATTAAAATGAAAAGTAAGGCAAAAGGAGTTTCCTGATTAAATTTCTCATATCTTAGTAAAAACCAACTGTATTACCTTTGCAATTTTTTCCTTATCTTCTAAAAATACAGCACAATTTGAAAAGAAAAAAATTAATAAAGGGGTTTCTAGTCTCTGTTTTAAAAAGCGTTATAACTAATGTCAATTTTAACTTTAAATTTCTTTCTTCTTCAAGTGTCAAACTGTTAGAACAGAATATCTCAGAGTAATCTGGATTTCTACAAAAGCAGAGATTTACTCCTGTCTTGCAAAGTAACATACAGGTACAGCTTAAAGGCAAAGATGGAGACTAGAACTTTGGGAATTTTCCCAAATAATAATAATAATAATAATCTGCGAAGGATCCACATCGTTATACATGATCCACTTTCTAGCTGAAAAGGCTTGCACTGAGCATAACCTAAATGCATTCACTTATCCCTACTGTGCCTAGCAGAGTAGAAGACAAATGAATACACTAATCAAATAGTTGAATATTGTTGTTAAGTGCCTTTTGACTGACTATACCATGAACAAAAGGTCTGAACTTAGCCCTATTCTGAGCCAAAATTGATATATTATTATAGTATTTATATACATACAAGTATCTATGTATACAAACTTAGATACACATCATTTCACTCATTACTTTAAGCTAAATAGAACTTTAAAAATAACATAAAAAAATGAAAAAGAACAGAAAAGCTTATCCACCTACCTTAGATTTGCCTTAATATATTTTTTCTTGCCACATTTGCTCATTATTAAGACATTTGTAATCAATGATTTCCTTCTTCCTCACTTCTTTATTTATCCTGCAGTAAAATTACAATGTTGAATTTGGTAATCATAACATTTTATTAATGTTTTTAACAGATTAAGACCTCTCAAATTAGTGTCAAGCAAAATATAGTCAATTCTATAAAATTAAAAATTAAAAAACAGAACACTAAAAATAAATCTTTTTTTTTAACTTTTAGTCTCTTACATCCCTAGGGAGAAATTTTCACAAAACTTAAATGCGGCTTTCTTTCTCTGATTATTTTCTACTGATGAAAAAGCAAGAAGTTGTCTAAAATTATCTAATATACACTATGTATATAGCTTTTAAGTATCACCTTAAGTTGTTATGTGCCTTCTAGTCTCTTGAGACTCGTAGAAATCCTGTGTACAACAGCCTAAACCCTGCTCTATCCTGTGCCAATCTTATTGTCTCCAACACATCTATCCCTATTACCCCAGTCACTGAATCAATCCACCTCATCGAGGGTCTTCCTCTCCTGTGCTGTCCCTCCACCCTCCCAAGCATGATGTCTCTCTCCAAGGACTGATCCTGACTTGCAACATGTCCAAAGTATGTCAGACGAAGCTTCGGAATCCTTGGCTCCAAGGAGCAGCCTGGCTTCACCCTTTCCAGGATGAACTTGTTTGTTCTCCTAGCAATCCATAGTATATTCAATACTCTTGTCCAGCACCACAGCTCAAAGGCATCAATCCTCTTTTTATCATCCCTAGTCACTGTCCAGCTTTCTGATGCATAGCAAGTAAATACAAAGACCATGGCCTGGGTCAGGCGCACCTTGGTCTCCATACTGATATCGTAAGTCTACCTTAATAAACTTACTAAATTTTCTTTTGTAATTTTTTTTTACATTTTTAATTATTTTGTTTGTGTGCAGTCAAACTGGATTTGACTGGTACAGGAAGAGATTGCCCCTCCTTCTCCAGCAGAGCATCTGCTGGATTCGAACCGCGCACCTCCGAGATTGCAATGCACCTTCTTGCCACTAGGTTACCAGAGCTCCCTTACTAAATTTTCTTAAGTTGACCCCAGGTCAACAAATTTTTCAATTAGTTTTTATTACTTTAAATTTAAAACTAGGTTTTGTGTAAGAATATTACCTCCAAAAAAATATTACCAGTTTTTTTAAAAGTTCCTTTTGATAGCCCTTAGTTCTTTTAACGACTGCTTTTTTTAAGCATTCCAGCTAAAGAATATCAGAAAATTAACTCCATTTTTAAAATTTTCATTTTGGTGAAAATACATAATAGCAACATACATAACTCATATATAGGTTTCTACCAGGAGCTCTGGTGCCCTAGTGCGAAGGGAGATAAACTACCAACCCAAAGGCAAGTGGTTCAAATCCGCCACTAATGCTCTGTGGAAGAAAGATGAGCAATCTTCTCCTTTACAATTACACCCTCTGAAAATACATTGGAGGGCCAGTTAGGAGTCGTTCCCAATGTTCAATGAAAACGGATGATGCTGTTCAAAGTAATGAAAACCATCATCAGTTTCTATGTGTATAATTCAAGAACATTTATTATATCCTTCATACTGTGAAACTCATTTCTAGTTCTAGCTACAATATTTCTATCACTGATTTTTGACTCACTATTTCCTAATACTCTCAATGTTACTGTAGAGTTGTTGACAATTTTCCTCTCATAAAGTTAATTCATTAAAAGAGAGCAACACTCTCATGAATAATGGTTGGGAACAAAAAGAGTGGAGCAACCACCTAAAGAGAGCGGAGGATCTCATCTGGTGATGGGAAAGAGAACTTTAAGGTTCTTGATTGAGGGCCTCCTGCCGAAGCTAGACCCAGAGGAAATGAAACAGAAGATACACAAGGATGTTATCTTGTACATACACAACTTTCTCATTTATGTGGCTCTGCTGTGAGGAGTCATTCCCTTTATCTTAAAGAAATTGGATAGCATATAATGACTTGGAATCACAAATGAAGGCATGATATGAAGACTTCCATTTGCAAATGAACAGACTCAGAAAGCCCTAAGAAACTCTCCGATTGAATGGATTCTACTTGTTAAGAACAATTTGCTCTGGACCTTCATAGCTAAAATGTAAAACTGGGGGCAGAAGGAGTGAAAGAGGGTGTCTAACACTCAAGGTGAACATTCCTTCCTAATTAAAAGAAATTTTTAATTTAAATGTAACTTTGGAGGAAATTTTGGTCCATGGTAGAATATTCTCAGAGTGAAAGATTTGAGATTCCTCTAGCCTCATTTTCCAAACCAAATCAAACCTGACTACTATTGAGTCACAGTGTCCTAATCCGATGAAACGGAACCAACCCTGAGAGTCTCCAAGACCACCAATCTTTAAAAAGGGGACTATCTCATCTTTCTCCTGTGAATCAGTTGGTACATTTAAACCACCGGCCTACTGGTTACTGGTTGAATGCCTTAATTATCACACTACCAGAATTTCTTAAATAGTTTCGGAAAACTCGGATTGTTAAATGCCATTTTTTTAAACTGGTATCTCTCTCTCTCACACACACACACACACACATTCTCTCTCATGGAAATACATATATAAAGGTTGAAACTTTCAACAGTTTCATATTACTTGGATCCACAATTAACACCTTTATTATCAGCAGTTGAAAAATCAAAAGATGCGTTGCACTAGGGTATCTGCTGTCAATGACCTCTCTAAAAAGCTAAAAAGCAAAGATGTCAGCTTAAAGACCTAATCTAATGCATGATCTTTTCTTGTTAAGTATTAGAAAGTTTGACGATGACAAAAAAAAAAAAGAGTGACAGAGAATCACTGATGCTTTTGAGCTGTGACGTTGGAGAAGAGTACTGACTATCCCAAGGACTGAAAAAAACCCAAAAACAAAAAAACCACCACCACCATATCCAGGTTGCCTCATAGAGGCAAGGTTGGTAATACTCCATCTCACATATTTTGGGCATGTTGTTAGGAAGGGCCAAGTCCTCGGAAAAGGATATCATGCGTGGAAAAGTAGAGGGTCAGAGGAATGACACAGTGACTGTGGCAACAGACTTGAGTGTGCCAGAGACTAAGGATAGCACAGGATAAGACAGGCCTCAGATTGGTTGTTCAGAGTCACTATGAGTTGTACTCGATTCGGCACCTCCCAACAACAGCAGTAATTTTATATATATATATACATATATATATATATATTTTCTTTTTATTTATATACATATGTGCACATACATATATTTGATTGATCTCATATATATAAATATATACAACATGCCAAGAAAAAGACAAAAGTACATGAGAGTCCTCTAAGTTAAATAAATATATAAATAAAAACAAACAGCCATCATCTATGCCAGAAATGGCAGCATTTAGCCACAGACGTAATGTTTTTAGGGTTCCCCTATAAATGGTTATATCACATTATTCCAACCTTTTTTTGTATTGTGGTGCAGAAAGCAAGATTTGTCTTGTCTCACTGAGGACATTCAAATAACGGCTGCTGCCACCCCAGACATTCTTTCCCCACAGCAAAAGGACAACAGAAGACTGAGGGAATTTGAAGCATGACCTGGTATTAAGAAGCTGTGCTGCAATCCCAAAGGCACATGGTTTGAATCCACCAACAGCTCCACGAGAGTAGGATGGACAACCTCTCCCTTTGCAATGTAATGACTTGGAAAACCCTCTGGAGGATCAGCTACGGGTTAGTTCCAATTCAACAGCACACTACAACAACAACATTCAAATACAAAGAATAGCAAAGCTTAGTACAATACATTTGGATCAGACCTTATTCTGCAGTGCGCTGTGCTAGTCTTTTATGGGGATATGTTATCGTTATGATCCTATGTAAAACAGTTCTGAACTCTGCCCTGTCCTGAGCCAGTCTCACTGACTCGTAATACATCTACCACCATTGGCCCAATTGCTCTATCAGTTCATCTAATCCAGGGTCTTCCTCTTCTGAACTGTCCCTCCACCATTCCAAGCATGATATCCTTCTAAGGACCAGGACTTCAAAATCCTAGTCTCCAAGGAAAAACTTGGTTTCACCCTATTTGTTTACTTGGTGGGCCATGGTATGTCCCAGACTATTCTCCAGTACCACAACTCAAAGGCAATAATTCTTCTTCTATCATTCTTAGTCCTTGTTTATCTCTCTGATGCTTAGCAAGTAATTGGGAAGACTATGATTTAGGTCAGGCGCACCTTAGTCTCTAGACTGACATCGTTGCTTCTTAGTACTCTGGGAGGTCCCTGACAGCAGATTTTCCAAGTGCAATTTGTCTCTTAATTTCCTGACTGATGGTGCCAAGAGGACTGCAGAGCTAAGCAACCTGTTAATTATTAACAACCTCAATCTCTTCTCCATCTATCATGGTGTTTCCAATTGGCCCAGTGGTGACAATCAGATATGGCAATTTCTGTAAGGGGAGGTATCTTTCATCTGCTAAAAATGCTTGTCTGACAGATACTATTCTAAAACTAAGCATCCAGATTAAGACAGACTAGTAAGACGGCTGGCTATCCACTTCCAAAATATAAGAGGCATTAAAAAACTCTATATATACAATAGAGCAAACCTAGAGCAGACTAACAGGGACACATTACCTTTTTAAAAAATTCTGGCAACTGATTAAATAATAATCATCACCTATTATATGTCCATGGAAGGAGGAGTGGCATCCACTTCCATAATAGCTTGCCTCCAGAAACCCTATGAACCTGGAGAGAGGATGAAAGGCACCCAAGCGTCGAGGAATCTCCTTCATAGGGTTGCTATGAGTTGCCTGCGACTCGACGACACTTAACAACAACATTATATGTCAGGCCTTTATGCTAGGCACTGGGGACACAGATAATGAAATAGTCCTGCTTTCCAGGCACTTGCAACCCAATTGGGGTGACAAACATGCTAACAAACACCATTATTTGAACAATAATTATAGCTCTATACCATTTATGAATAGAAACTAATTCTACCAGTACTACCATTCATTGCTGTTGAGTTGGAAGTGACTCACAGCTGACCCTCCAGTGGGTTTT